GGAGGAGCATCCCCGGGGCCGGCGGCGGCCCCGCCACGGGGGTTGATGTCACGGCTAATTATAAACATCCCCCGTCCCTCGCCCCCGCCAAAAGCTTTTACCTGAGAGAGAGAGGGTAAAAATAACTCCCCGGGCGGGGGAGGAGCTGGAACGAGCCCAAGGACTCCTCCAGCATCTCCCAAAACCCGCGCACAAAAAAAAAAGCGGGACGGCACCGCCCTGCCCGCTTTGTCCCCCGGCCCCGGGGGTCGGGACGCGCTCCCCTTGGCGCCGGTGCCGGGCTGGGGATGTCCCCGGTCACCTTCACGCCGCGGGGATGGGACAGGGGGTGTAACCGGAGCCGGGCCCGGCTCGTCCCCCCCGCCCCGAACCGGCCCCGGCGCTCCCCGAGAGCTCTTTGAGCCGAGCGAGGCGGGTTAATGGCCCCGGTCGATGATGGAACGTTTTCATTACAGCATCTCTATCTCTCTCTCTCTCTCTCTCTCTCTCTCTCTCCCTCTCTCCCTGCTGCAATCGCTCCCGAGAAGACACATTAAACCTTCCCCGTGCCAAGGGGTGGGATCAGCCCCTCGCTGGCACCGGCAGGGACTGGGCAGCAGAACTCCCTGTCCGTGCCCTGCCAGGGCCAAACAAACCCCCTCAGCCTGCAATTCCACTTCCCTCCCCCTCTCCCTCCCGCAGCCACGGCACAGAAACCCTGTCCCAGAGCTGGGGAGCTCCAGAACCCCCACCCCAGCTCCTCCCTGCTCCTCCCTGCCAAGAGCATCCTCCAGCTCTGCTCGGTGTGGGATGAGCCCAGCTCGCTCCCAGCCTGTTCCCACAGGGCTGAGCCAGCCCAGGGATCCCACTCCCCATCCCAGGAGGATCCCTGATGCCTTTAGAGCCCAGGTTGTGACCTGACCCCCACGTCCTGGTGGCTCCCAGCCCCCCAATCCACCTCCCCGACCCCCTTTCCCGGGAAGGATTTTCCAGCTCGGGCTCTCGGAGCTGCTCCCAGGAGGGATGACCTTGCTCTGGGCTCGATGAAATTACATCCCACGGCTCTGGCGCTCGTCCCCAAGGTCACCCACCCTTCCTCCCAGGTCCCCAGGCTCTGTGGGATGTGGCAGCAGCCCTCTTACACATTCCCTGTTGGGAATATCGAGCTCGGGAAGCCCCGGGAAGGGACGAGCCGCTGGCACACCCTCGGTCACCCCCAGCAGGGTCCCCCGTGCGTGTCCTGCCCGTCCCACCGGTGTCACCAGCTCAGGAATCACAGAGAACTGTGCACTGTACAGATCTGTACCCTCTCCTGGTTGATCTATTCACCCAGTTTGTTGTGTCCCCCCGTGCTGGGATGTGCTCAGGGCCCGTGGTGTGTGCAGGGAAGGAGGAACTGGGGGTTTGGGGTGAGCTCATCCCACCCAGGCACAGGCCAGAACCTCCCTCCCAGCCCCTGCACATCCCAGTGCTGCTGGATTTCGATGCTCCCCTTCCCCCCTGGGCCGGCGCTGGCAGGGCTGGAGCTGGTTCTGTGGTCTCTGGATGCTTTTACCAAGTGCTGAGTGCAGGAAAACAGCAAAACCACGAGAAGGGGCCGCGCTGCTGCAGGGAGGAGACGCCCAAGATCCCGGCAGCCAGCCTGGATGGAGGCTCCATCTCACAACCCTGCAGAGGGGCTGCTCTCCAGGATTCCCAGCCCAGCCTTCTACATCCCACCACCCTGCAGAGGGGCTGCTCTCCAGGATTCTCAGCCTGGATGGAGGCCCCATCCCAGCACCCTGTAGAAGGGCTGCTCTCCAGGATTCCCAGCCTGGCCACCAGTTCCATCCCAGCACCCTGCAGAGGGGATTCCCAGCCCAGCCTTCTCCATCCCAGCACCCTGGACCAGGGCTGCCCTCCAGGATTCCCAGCACGAGGCCTGGATGCCATTCCCTGAGGGAAGCAGGGGCTCCCTGTGCCCAGCTGGGATCCAAAGGGAGGTGGCACACCCGGCACTGGCTGGGCTCTGCAGGAGGAGCCACGACTGGAACAACACCCAAATCCCACCCAAACCATCCCTGCCTGGAGGAAGATGGCTTGGAATGTCGAATTTGCTGGATGCTCCTGGCATGGGGGAATCAGCCCATGGGGACGGGCCCTGCCGGGGCAGGATGAGCACCGAGAGAGCTCGGGGACCCCTCCATCCTTCTGCCCTCCTGGCACCACAACAGCACAACGCCACGGGAATTTTGGGAAAACCTGCTGCCCCGAGGAGGAGCTCTCAGAGCCCGGCATATGGCAGCTCCAGAGGCAGCCTGGCCCCAGCAGGGAGCACTGGCTGGAGCAGCCACTCGGGCTGCCAGGGCCAGGCCAGGCAGGGAGGGCGGAGGACACGGCGTGGGGACGCGGCACAGAGGGGACCTGCACACCCCCCCCATTCCCGGGGCCTGGCAGCCCCCCGGGGCAGCCCCGGGAGCTCCCGAGGTGCTCCTGGAGCCGGTGGTGCCTCTGCTCCGTCCTGGCAGCCGCGGGCGGCCGGTCCCGGGGGACGTGGGGAGCCCGCAGAACCGCCCCTCGCTCCTCCTCCCCCGCTCCTGCTCCTCTTATACCCTCCTCTCTCCGTCCCCTCTCCGAGCATCCCTCTGCTCCTCTCCCTCCCTCGCTCCTCTTCCCTTCTCCGTCTCTCCTCCCTGAACTCCTTCGCTCTCCCTCCTTCCCTGCCCCTCTCACACACCCTGAGGAACTGACCCGGCACCAAAGACCCCCAGGCTGTGGCTGGACGGGCACCAGGACCCCCCTCTCCAGAGCTGGGCCCCCCCAGAGCGGGCGATGCCTCTCCAGATCTTCTGCACCATCTCCTTCTCCAGCGAGGAAGGGCCTGAGGACGCCACAGGCACCGGGAAGGGAGAGGACGGAGCAGACGAGTTCCTGTACGGGCAGGAGGATGAGGAAGAGGAGGAGGAGGAGGATGCAGGGGCAGCCACGGACCTGGCGGCCTTCGCCAGCAGCTGCACCTTGCACGGGCTGAGCCACATCTTCGTGGAGGGCGGGCTGGGCGCCCGGCAGGCGCTCTGGGCCCTGGCCTTCCTCCTCTCCCTCTCGGCCTTCCTCTACCAGGTGGGCGACCGCGTCGCCTGCTACCTGGAGCACCAGCACGTCACGCTGCTCCGCGAGGAGCAGAGCCCCGAGATGACCTTCCCCGCCGTCACCCTCTGCAACGTCAACCGCGCGCGGCTCTCGCAGCTCAGCCGCCGGGACCTGCTCTACCTGGCCCCGCTGGTCCGCTACGAGCCCGGCACGGAGCTGGGCTTTGGCACAGAGCTGGGCGTTGGCACAGAGCTGGGCTTTGCCCCGGCCCCGCCCGGCCCCTGGGAGGAGGATGAGGAGGATGAGGAGGAGGAGGAGCCCCTCAATCTGTTTGGGTTTTTTAACCGCACTTGCCACCGGCTGGAGGACATGCTGCTGAGCTGCCGCTACCGCGGCCGGCGCTGCGGCCCCGCCGACTTCGCGCCGGTGAGTAGCCCCCGGGGTGGCCCCACAAGTGTGGGACCGGGCACGGCCCTTGGAGCACCGGGTGGGACCAGGAGCAGCTGGGAATGCTGCTCCTGGAGCACCATGTGGGATCGGGCATGGCTGGGAATGCTGCTCTTGGAGCACTGGGTGGGACCAGGAGCAGCTGGGAATGCTGCCCATGGAGCACCGTGTGGGTCCGGGCACAGCCCTTGGAGCACCGGATGGGACCAGGAGCAGCAGGGGATGCTGCCCTTGGAGAACCATGTGGGATGAGGCATGGCTGGGAATGCTGCTCTTGGAGCACTGGGTGGGACCAGGAGCAGCAGGGGATGCTGCTCTTGGAGCACCATGTGGGACCAGGCAGGGCTGGGAATGCTGCCCTTGGAGCACTGGGTGGGACCAGAAGCAGCAGGGGATGCTGCTCTTGGAGCACCATGTGGGACCGGGCACAGCCCTTGGAGCACCGTGTGGGACCAGGAGCAGCAGGGGATGCTGCCCTTGGAGCACCATGTGGGATTGGGCATGGCTGGGAATGCTGCCCTTGGAGCACCGTGTGGGTCCAGGCACGGCCCTTGGAGCACCGGGTGGAACCAGGAGCAGCAGGGGATGCTGCCCCTGGAGCACCGTGTGGGATCGGGCACAGCTGGGAATGCTGCCCCTGGAGCACCGTGTGGGATCGGGCACAGCTGGGAATGCTGCCCTTGGAGCACCGGGTGGGACCGGGCACAGCCCTTGGAGCACCGTGTAGGACCAGGAGCAGCAGGAGATGCTGCCCCTGGAGCACCGTGTGGGACTGGGCATGGCTGGGAATGCTGCCCTCGGAGCTGATATCTCAGCCCCAGCCCTGCAGAGCCGTCGGTGGGACATGGAGAGCAGCCCCAGGGCCGTGCTCGTGGAGGAGGTGCCGGGCACCTCTGTCCTGGTGCTCTGAGCCCGCTGCCCTCACGTGCCCCTCGCTGGAGTTGTGGCAGCTGGAAGGGCCGAGGAGGGACAGGGGGGGTCCGGGATCCCATCCAGCCCCGTCCCCTGGAGGTGTGGGGCTGAGTGTCCCACTGTGGGGGACCAGGGCTGCCCTGGGCTCCGTGGGGCTGAGGTGCTGTAGGTCTGCAACATCTCCACCCCTGAGCCTCGGTGGAACGTCTCCTCCTCTGCCTGGGCCAAGTTCCAACACCGGGTTCTCAGTTCCAACACCGAGAGACCCCCTGGGTCAGGAGCCTGGGTTGGGCTGTGCCCAGGCTGGGGGTGGCTGTGCCCTGGGGGTGGCTGTGTCCTGGGGATGGCTGTGTCCTGGGGGTGGCTGTGCCCTGGGGGTGGCTGTGTCCTGGGGGTGGCTGTGCCCTGGGGATGGCTGTGCCCAGGCTGGAGGTGGCTGTGTCCTGGGGGTGGCTGTGTCCAGGTTGGGCTGTGCCCAGGCTGGGGGTGGCTGTGCCCTGGGGATGGTTGTGTCCAGGCTGGGGGTGGCTGTGCCCTGGGGATGGCTGTGTCCTGGGGGTGACTGTGTCCTGGAGGTGGCTGTGACCTGGGGGTGGCTGTGTCCTGGAGGTGGCTGTGTCCTGGGGGTGGCTGTGCCCTGGGGCTGGCTGTGTCCTGGGGGTGACTGTGTCCAGGCTGGGGGTGGCTGTGTCCTGGGGATGACTGTGACCTGGGGGTGGCTGTGTCCTGGAGGTGGCTGTGTCCTGGGGGTGGCTGTGTCCTGGCTGGGGGTGGCTGTGACCTGGGGGTGGCTGTGCCCTGGGGGTGACTGTGTCCTGGGGATGGCTGTGTCCTGGGGGTGGCTGTGTCCTGGGGCTGGTGACGCCCTCCTGGCTCCATGCTGTGGCTCCACAGAGGGGCCTCAGCCCCGTGTCCTCTCCCGCAGGTCTTCACCCGCTACGGGAAGTGCTACACCTTCAACGCGGGGCAGGACGGGAAGCCCCGGCTCATCACCATGAAGGGGGGCACTGGCAACGGCCTGGAGATCATGCTGGACATCCAGCAGGACGAGTACCTGCCAGTGTGGGGGGAAACAGGTAACCCACGGCCCCAGCAGGTCACCAGCAGCTCCTGGGGGTGCTCTCCGGCCCCTTCCCGGCTCCCTCCTCTTCCCTCCTTCCATCTCTCGCCACTTCAGGTCCTTTCTTTGCCTCTGCCTTCCCCTCCTTTGTCTTTGCTCCTCGCCATGGCAACTCCCCGCTGGTTTAGACACATCCCTTGTTTATAAATAGAGGCAAAACACTTCCCTGCCGCGCTCCCGGTGCCGGGAGCGGGAGGGTCAGGGGCGGAGGGGGCAAGGACGTGGTGCAGCAAACAGGGTTGGAGGGACAGCAAACAGGGTTGGAGGGACAGCAAACAGATGGACGGACATGTGGAGGGACCAAATGGCCCGGGGGGGGGGGGGGGGGAGAGTGGGAGGCAGAAGTTTTGGGAGCAGGGACGGTGCCCGGCTCACCCCGCCCTCTCCCTGCTGCAGATGAGACCTCGTTCGAAGCCGGGATCAAGGTGCAGATCCACAGCCAGGACGAGCCCCCCCTGATCGACCAGCTGGGCTTCGGGGTGGCCCCCGGCTTCCAGACCTTCGTGTCCTGCCAGGAGCAGCGGGTAGGGCTGGGGGGGTCCGGGGTTCTCCCTCCTGACACGGAGCCTCCTCCCTGTTGGACGGAGAGGGGACCTGACCCCGGGGTGTGATGCCACGAGGGTCTTTCCCCACCATGCTGGAGGCCCCGGGGGGCTTCTCTCCTCACTCCTGCCTTAGAATCACAGAATCATGGAATCACAGAATCATGGAATCAGCTGGGTTGGAAGGGACCTCCCAGATCACCCAGTCCAACCCTTGATCCAACCCCGCTGTGGTTCCCAGCCCATGGCACTGATGCCACATCCAGTCTGTCCTTAAACACCTCCAGGGATGGAGAATCCACCCCCTCCCTGGGCAGCCCATTCCAAGGGCTGAGCACCCTCTCTGGAGAGAAATTCTTCCTGATCTCCAACCTAACCCTCCCCTGGCACAGCTGCAGACCCAGCCCTCTTGTCTTGCTGATGGGAAAAGAGACCAACCCCCCCCGGCTCCCCCCTCCTGTCAGGGAGTTGCAGAGAGTGAGGAGGTCTCCCCTGAGCCTCCTCTTCTCCAGGCTGAGCCTCCCCAGCTCCCTCAGCCTCTCCTCACAGCACTTGTGCTCCAGTCCCTTCCCCAGCCTCGTTGCTCTCCTCTGGACCTGCTCCAGCCCCTCCATGTCCTTCCTGAGCTGAGGGCCCAGAGCTGGACACAGCACTCCAGGGGTGGCCTCACCAGCGCTGAGTCCAGGGCAGGAATCACTTCCCTGGCCCTGTTGGCCACCCTGTTCCTGAGCCAGGCCAGGATCCATTGGCCTCTTGTCCCCCTGGGCACACTTTGGCTCCTGTTCAGCCTCCTGCCCATCCCAAATCCCAGCTCCCTTCCTGCCTGGCTGCTCTCCAGCCCCTCTGTCCCCAGGGGGGTTGTTGTGGCCAAAGTGCAGGACCCGGCCCTTGGCCTGGTTGACCCTCATCCCCTTGCAATCAGCCCGTCCAGGTCCCTCTGGCCCTGCTCCAGCCCCTCAACATCCTTCTTCCTTCTGCCCCCTCCCAGCTCATCTACCTTCCCCCTCCCTGGGGCGACTGCAGGGCCGTGGCGGGCGACCTGGAGTTCTACGACACGTACAGCATCACGGCGTGCCGGATCGACTGCGAGACCCGCTACCTGGTGGAGAACTGCAACTGCCGCATGGTGCACATGCCAGGTGAGCCCCCACCTCAGCCCACCGGGGGGGGGACCCCTTCAGCTGAGGGGCCAAAGGGGTGGGACCCCCGAAGGGAGCGCAGGGAAGCTGTGGTTTAGTGGGACGATAGGAAAGGGGTGGGAGAGAAGGGAAAAGCGTTGGGCTGAGGCCCCCAAAACTGAGTGTGAGGGGGGTTGGGACCCCAAAGTTATTGGGAGGGGGGTGGGAGACCCCAGCTGAGTGCAGAGGGGGGCTGGGGGCTGGAGGGACCATAGGAAGGGGGTGGGAGAGGGGCAGAAAAGGGGGGATGGGACAGCAGGAAGAGGAGTCCCAAGGGGGTCCCTTGGTGTCCCCATCACTTGAGCCCTGGAGCAGTTCCCTGGGGCTCTGGAGGGGTTGGATCTGCGCTGGGGGGGGGTCCCCAACACCCTCTGTCCATCCCTGAGGGGCTGATGGGGGGGCTCCCCTCCACCTAACAGCCGGTGCTGCAGTGGCCACGGGGGAAAAGGTGGGAAAAGGGGGGTCTGGGGTGGCCCCAGGTGAGCTCCCGCCCTGCTGTGGGGTATCACAGCCAGCACGGCTTCCCCAGAGGATCCCACCTGGAAAACCCTTCCTGTGTCCCCGCAGGCGACGCCCCGTATTGCACCCCCGAGCAGTACAAGGAGTGCGCGGACCCGGCCTTGGGTGAGGCTCGGGAGGGAGGGAGGGAGGGAGGGAGGGAGGGAGGGAAGGAGGGAGGGAGCTGCGGGCCTTGGGTCTCTCCAGGCCTCCGAACTCCTCTCTCCCCCTGCCCAGATTTCCTGGTGGAGAAGGACAACGAGTACTGCCTCTGCGACATGCCCTGCAACATGACCCGCTACGGCAAAGAGCTCTCCATGGTCAAGATCCCCAGCAAGGCCTCGGCCAAGTACCTGGCCAAGAAGTACAACAAGTCGGAGCAGTACATCGGGTAACGTGGCCGTGGCAGGGGGGTGGCACCCGCTGCCGCCCCCTCCCAGACCCTCAGCCCGGTGCCACTTTGTGTCCTGCGCAGGGAGAACATCCTGGTGCTGGACATCTTCTTCGAGGCCCTCAACTACGAGACCATCGAGCAGAAGAAGGCCTACGAGGTGGCCGGTCTGCTGGGTGAGCGATGGGGGGGGGGGCTGGCCAGTGCCCTCCCCGGCGAGGTGGCCCCGCGTCGGCCCCGTCGCCCCGGCCCCGTTCCCGAGGCGCCGGGATGTGCCCACGGCGGGGACGAGGAGCAGGACACGAGTCCTGTGCCCTTTCCCCGCTCCCTCTGGCCGCCCTGACGGCTTCCCCTGTCCCCTGCAGGTGACATCGGAGGGCAGATGGGGCTGTTCATCGGGGCCAGCATCCTCACGGTGCTCGAGCTCTTCGACTACGCCTACGAGGTGAGGGGTTACCCCAGAGCACCCCGTGGGGCGTGGGGAAGGGCTCAGCCCCCGAGCCTCCTCAACGGGGCTGAAAAACGTGGCCCTGGCAGGTGATAAAGCACCGGCTGTGCCGGAGGGGCAAGTGCCGCAAGAACCACAAGAGGAACAACACGGACAAGGGCGTCGCGCTGAGCATGGACGACGTGAAGCGCCACGTGAGTGCTGGGGACACCCTGGGGCTGCTGGGGACACCTGGGGGCTGCTGGGGACACCTTGGGGGCTGCTGGGGACACTCCAGGGGCTGCTGGGGACACCCCAGGGGCTGCTGGGGACACCTTGGGGGCTGCTGGGGACACTCCAGGGCTGCTGGGGACACTCCAGGGGCTGCTGGGGACACTCTGGGGGCTGCTGGGGACACTTGGCTTGCTGGGGACACTCCAGGGGCTGCTGGGCGACACTCTGGGGGCTGCTGGGGACACCCCAGGGCTGCTGGGGCCCTCTGGGGGCTGCTGTGGACCCCCGGGGGCGCGCTGGGGACACCTTGGGGGCTGCTGGGGACACTCCAGGGGCTGCTGGGGACACTCTGGGGGCTGCTGGGGACACCTTGGGGGCTGCTGGGGACACCCTGGGGGCTGCTGGGGACACTCTGGGGGGCTGCTGGGGACACCTTGGGGGCTGCTGGGGACACTCCAGGGGCTGCTGGGGACACTCTGGGGGCTGCTGGGGACACCTTGGGGGCTGCTGGGGACACCCTGGGGGCTGCTGGGGACACTCTGGGGCTGCTGGGGACACCCCGGGGGCTGCTGGGGACACCTTGGGGGCTGCTGGGGACACCCCAGGGCTGCTGGGGACACCTGGGGGGCTGCTGGGGACACCTGGGGGCTGCTGGGGACACCCTGGGGGCTGTGGGGGGGCACCCCAGGTGCTGGGGGACACCTCAGGGGCTTATGGGACACTCCAGGGGCTGCTGGGGACACCCCAGGGCTGCTGGGGACACCTTGGGGGCTGCTGGGGACACCTGGGGGCTGCTGGGGACACCCCGGGGGCTGCTGGGGACACTCCAGGGGCTGCTGGGGACACCTTGGGGGCTGCTGGGGACACTCCAGGGGCTGCTGGGGACACCTTGGGGGCTGCTGGGCACACTCCAGGGGCTGCTGGGGACACCCTGGGGGGCTGCTGGGGACACCCTGGGGCTGCTGGGGACACTCCAGGGCTGCTGGGGACACCCTGGGGGCTGCTGGGGACACCCTGGGGGCTGCTGGGCCCCTCTGCAGCTCAGGGGCTGCCTGAGAGGAGCCTCTGGGTGTGGGGTCACTGTTTTGGGGCTGCCTGGGGGGAGCCCTTGAGTGTGGGGTCACTGTTTTGGGGCTACCTGGGAGGAGCTGTGGGGTCAATGTTTTGAGGCTGCCTGGGCGGAGCCCCTGAGTGTGGGGTCACTGTTTTGGGGCTGCCCAGGAGGTACTGTGGGGTATGAGGTCACTGTTTTGGGGCTGCCTGGGAAGAGCTGTGGGGTCACTGTTTTGGGGCTGCCTGGGGGGAGCTGTGGGGTCAATGTTTTGGGGCTGCCCAGGAGGTGCCACGGGACGGGAGGTCCCAGCTCGAGGAGCACTTGGGGAAGGAGCAGAGGGACCAGTCCCACGTGCTGTGGGGAGCCAGGGCTCGCTCTCTGCGGGGATTTGGGCGAAACCAGTGACCCCAACACCCCGTCACCCCCCAGAACCCCTGCGAGAGCATACGGGGGCACCCGGCAGGGATGACGTACGCAGCCAACATCCTACCTCACCACCCGGCCCGGGGCACCTTCGAGGACTTCACCTGCTAACCCCGACGTCACTGGATGTACAACCTGAGCTACCAAAGCCCTGCGCGCGGAGCTGCCCCTTCCCCCGGAGGGGGGACGCGGCCCCGGGGGCCCTCGCTCCCTCCTCGGCACCGAGGGACACACGGACACGAGCGACGGCCTCGCCCGGCGGGGCAGGGCAGGGCAGCCGGGTCGGGGCGATGCCCCCGGGTCGGGACGATGCCCCCGGGTCGGGACGATGCCCCCGGGTCGGGGTGATGCCCCCGGGTCGGGACGATGCCCCCGGGTCGGGGCGATGCCCCCGGGTCGGGACGATGCCCCCGGGTCGGGGCGATGCCCCCGCGCCCGCCCCGCTCGCTCAGAGACTCGAGGGACGACACAACACACGCACAGGGGGCCGGGGCAGGGCCAGCCCCGGCTCCCCCACCCCAACCCCGGCTCCCCTCGGCCTTTTTAACTCCGAACCCAGAAGCCAAGAAGAAGAAGAAGAAGAAGAGGAAGGAGAAGAAGAAGAAGGTGGTGTCCATCCACAGCCCTGTCTGTCTGTCCGCCAGCGTCTCCATGCCCATCCTGCTCCCAATGCCTCGGACCCCCCGTGCCCGGGGGGGGGGATTTTTGTGGAGGGGTCCCAGGGCTTGGCTGGGGGTCCCCGGGGAGCCTCAGTGTCCCCCAGGACCGGTGCCCACCCTGGCCTGGGCGCTCCACGTGCACCAGGACGCAGCAGCTGCCCCTCTCCAGAACATCTTCCTTGGCATCAGCCCTCTCCAGAACATCTTCCTTGGCATCAGCCCCTGGGGGCACCGGGGGGGGGACTCGGGAGGTGCCCCCGTGGCTCTGTGGACCCCCAGCCCGGGCGATGCTGAGCCCACCTTGCCCCTTTTCCCGGGTTCTGGGCAGTGCCAGCCCTGCCCAGCCAGCCCTCCCCGCTCCCAGGGCACCCCGGGCAGCCCCCCAGAACCAGCCCTGCCCGGGGAGAAAGGGGGAAGGGACCCCCCTTTAGAGGGACCCCCCCTTGGTACCGGGTGGGCACCGGAGCCCCAACACCACCAGGGCTCACAGGCTGGTCCCGGGAGCAGCTCCCACCCCCCGAGCCCCCCCAAACTCAGCTGCCCAGGGGATTTTTGGGGGGTCTGTGGCCTCGCTGCCCCTCCCTGGGGGGGGGTCTGGGGGTCTCTGCCCCCCCTCTGACCCCTCCAGCGCCCTCACTTCGCTCTGGGGTCTGCACTTGGCCCCCCCAACCCCACAGACCAGGTCAGAGCCCCCCCCCCGGGCCCAAGTGCTTCTTAAATCTTTTAAGAGCTTTTGCAATAAGTCTGTTCAGTAATTTTTTGTTTCCGAGCTGCAGCTTTGGGGGTTTTTTTATTCCTGCCATTTTTTTTTAATTCCTGCTATTTTTTTTTTAATTCCTGCCATTTTTTTTAAAATCCTACCATTTTTTTAATTCCTGTCATTTTTTTTTAATCCTGCCATTTTTTTTATTCCTGCCATTTTTTTAATTCCTGCCATTTTTTTTAATTCCCACCATTTTTTTAAATTCCTACCATTTTTTTTAATTCCCGCCATTTTTTTTAATTCCTACCATTTTTTTTTTTTATTCCTGCCATTTATTTTTTTTTTATTCCTATTATTTGCTTCCTGACCAAAATTAGGAACTGGGCGTGGTGGGAGGGAAGGTCAGCCACGGGTCGGCCACATCCATAAATTTTCTTATGGATTTTTTTCCCTGGCGTTTCGTTTATTTATTTATTTGCTTCCTTCCTCTTTTCTAACCCCCCTTCGAGCTGTTAAAGACGGGGCTGGGATCTGACCTCGAGAAGACACTCTTTTGTTATTACGCCATCCGCATTTTATATTTCTTATATATAATATATATGACTATATATATATGTGTACATATATATATATATACCTCTATATGCATCATGCCACTGTAGATACCCATCCAAGTAGCGTTTAGGCCTTGTTCTTGTGCCATTTTATTTTTTATTTTATTTTATTTTATTTTTTTAATTTCTGTTACTGATCTCTGAATGCCTTCAAAAGTGTATAAAAAAGTGTGGAATTCTCTCCGGTATCTGTACTATGTACACACATTTTCATAGGAAGCACAATAAGATGACAGATGCATTGTACATCAATACCTGCTACTCTTAACGACAATATAAAGAATGATATAAATGATATAAACCCCCCACCAGGCCGAGCCTTTCTCTTGCTGAGCTGCTGGAAGTGCTCCCTGAGGAGCTGAGGGGGGACGGGCTCGTTCCAGGATGCTCCTGGAAATCCTGGAGCCGAGAGAAAGGGAGGATGTGGGCACCTCAGTGAGCTCCAACCTCTCTGCCAGGACCTGTCCTGCCATGGGAACTCATCCCAAGGGATGTGGGCACCTCAGGGAGCTCCAGCATTGCTGCCAGGACCTGTCCTGCCATGGGAACTCATCCCGAGGGATGTGGGCACCTCAGGGAGCTCCAGCATTGCTGCCAGGACCTGTCCTGCCCTGGGAACTCATCCTGAGGGATGTGGGCACCTCAGTGAGCTCCCCAGGACCTGTCCTGCCCTGGGAACTCATCCTGAGGGATGTGGGCACCTCAGTGAGCTGCCCAGGACCTGTCCTGCCATGGGAACTCATCCTGAGGGATGTGGGCACCTCAGTGAGCTCCAACCTCTCTGCCAGGACCTGTCCTGCCATGGGAACTCATCCTGAGGGATGTGGGCACCTCAGTGAGCTCCAGCATTGCTGCCAGGACCTGTCCTGCCCTGGGAACTCATCCCGAGGGATGTGGGCACCTCAGTGAGCTCCAACCTCTCTGCCAGGACCTGTCCTGCCCTGGGAACTCATCCCGAGGGATGTGGGCACCTCAGGGAGCTCCCCAGGACCTGTCCTGCCATGGGAACTCATCCTGAGGGATGTGGGCACCCCAGTGAGCTCCCCAGGACCTGTCCTGCCATGGGAACTCATCCCAAGGGATGTGGGCACCTCAGGGAGCTCCCCAGGACCTGTCCTGCCCCGGGAACTCATCCCAAGGGACACTGGAGGGTGGGAGCTGCCGTGTCCTCCAGCACAGGCAGGTGAATTAACACACACACAGAGCTGTTAATCCCTGTTAATCCCTGACAGCTCCAACCCCTCCATGGTTTGGGATCCAGCAGGAGCCACCAGCTGGAATTTCACCCGGGTTAACCCCGGCAGTGGCACCAGGAGCACAACCCCTACAGGAACACACCCAGTGTCCTAAAAACCCCTCAGCTTCAAAGAGCAGAAGGACCAGACCAAAGCCTGGGCATCCACAAAGGCCCTGAGGACCCCGGGGAGACGGAATAACAGGGAGTGGGAGTGGGCAGGGAACACTGAAATGCCAACCCCTCCCAGTCCCTTGGCTCTGCTCCTGTCCCCGTGGCTCCTGGAAATGGCAGAGGAGCGTTTTGCATTTCAAGCAGAACAAAGCTCTGATCCCTCCTGGAGCCGCAAAGGCCACGGGGAGGGATTCGAATGGGAGCAGGAGAGGAGAAGCCCAGGAGGGTGTTAATGAACCCCATGAACTGCAGCCAGAGCTGCCCCTGCCCGCTCCCTGCTCAGCACATTCCCTGTCCAACCTCCCCTTGGACACTCCCAGGGATCCAGGGGCAGCCACAGCTTCTCTGGGAAACTGTGCCAGGGCCTCCCCACCCTCCCAGGGGGGAATTTCTTCCCAATATCCCACCCAACCCTGCCCTCTGGCAGTGGGAAGCCATTCCCCCTTGTCCTGGCACTCCTTTGGAAATAGTCTCTCTCCCCCTTTCCTGCAGGGTCCCTTCAGGTCCTGGAAGGCCACAGTGAGGTGACCCCAAAGCCTTCCCTTCTCCAGGCCGAACAATCCCAATCTCCAGCCTCTCCTCACAGCAGAGCTGCTCCATCCCTCTGATCCTCTTGGAGCATCTCTGGACTCTTCTCCAGCAGCTCCACGTCCTCCCCGTGCTGGGACCCCCCCCGAGCCGGAGTCAGCCCTCGTTAGCTGATCATCACTAATTGTTTAATTAATGTGCTGTGGGTCAATGCCAGCTGGGTTTGTGTCCCTCCTCTCTCTGAGCTCCAGGGAATGGGAACTTAATGTTAATACTTGCAAAAAGTGGCCTTTCCCTTTCCCGTGGAGCTCCCTGTGGGACCCCAGGGGAGATGGGAATGGGCATTTGTGCCTCCTCAAGCTCGATCCCGGAATGCTGAGAGATGTCCCTGCCACGTCTGGATGTTGGAGCCCTTCACCCCTCAGGGACAGACCCTGAGCCCCCAGGGAAACACCCCCAATCCCACCCCTCACAGACCCTGTTCCCATTCCCAAATCCCTCTGGATCCTGTGCCCCCAAACTCAAACCCCTGTTCCCACCCCAAAACCCCCCGGACCAACACCCCCAATCCCACCCCTCACAGACCCTGTTCCCAATCCCAAATCCCCCAGGACCAACACCCCCAATCCCACCCCTCACAGACCCTGTTCCCAATCCCAAATCCCGTAGGACCAACACCCCCAATCCCACCCCTCACAGACCCTGTTCCCAATCCCAAATCCCGCAGGACCAACACCCCCAATCCCACCCCTCACAAGACCCTGTCCCAATTCCCAATCCCAGGACCAACACCCCCAATCCCACCCCTCACAGACCCTGTTCCCAATCCCAAATCCCGCAGGACCAACACTCCCAATCCCACCCCTCACAAACCCTGTTCCCAATCCCAAATCCCTTCGCCCTCGGTCCTCCCCGCGGTCCTCCCGCCGCCAGGGGGCGCCTCCGGCGGAGGGCGGGGCTGGGGGGCGGCCCCTCCCCGCGTGCTCGCGCGCGGCGCGCGGGGCCGTTTCCGGCTCCGCTCCCTTTGTGCGGGACAAGATGGCGGCGCGGGCCGGGTTCCAGGCGGGGCCCGCGAGCGGCGGCGGCGGCGGCGCCGCTCCGGGGGCCGCGCTGGGCCCGGGCGCGCCGGGCGGGGCGGTTCGCATGGGCCCGGCGCCGGGGCAGGGCCTGTACCGCTCGCCGCTGCCCGGAGCCGCCTACCCGGTGAGGCGGGGCGGCGCGGGGCGGGGCGCGGGGCCGGGCGCGGCGGGCGCTGACCGGGTGTGTTCTCTCCGCAGCGCCCCGGGATGTTACCGGGAGGCCGCCTGGCGCCGCAGGGCCCGGCCATGGGCCCGCCCGGCTACGGCGGGAGCCCCGCGGTGCGGCCCGCGCTGGCGCAGGCCGGGCTGGACCAGGCCCGCAAGCGGCCGGCGCCGCAGCAGCTCCAGCAGGTGCAGCCGCAGGCGGTGCCCAACCGCAACCACAAGTAAGGGACGGGGGGAAACGGGGCGTCCCGGGGTACGGGCACATCCCGGGAGCGTCCTGGGGGCGTCCTGGGGCACTGGGAACATCCCCGGGCGGCTGGGACATCCCGGGACATCCCAGGGCAGCAGGGGCATCCCGGAGCATTCTTGGAGCAGTGGGGACATCTGTGGGCACAGGGGACATCCCAGGGCATCCCGAGGCATCCCCGGGCAGCAGGGACATCCCAAGGACATCCCTGGGCAGCTGGGATATCCAGGGACATCTCAGGGCATCCCCGGGGCAGTGGGGATATCCTGTGGCAGCAGGGATGTCACAGAGCATTCTTGGGACAGCGGGGACATCTGCGGGCAGTGGGACCATCCCAGGACATCCCTGGGCATCCTGAGACCATCCTGGGGCAGTGGGGATGTCCCGAGGCTACTGGGTACGTGGCCCAGGCATGATGGGCATCCCAGGGCATCAGATGTAACCCCCTTTCCAAGGGGTGTAACCCCCTTTCCAAAGGATGTAACCCCCTTTCCAAGGGATGTAATCCCTTTTCCAAGGCCTGTAACCCCTTTCCAAAGGATGTAACCCCCTTTCCAAGGGATGTAACCCCTTTCCAAAGGATGTAACCCCTTTTCCAAGGGATGTAACCCCCTTTCCAAGTGCTCGGAGGGATGGGAAACGTTGAGGTCAGTCAGTGCTGCAGGGCTCAGGTAACTGGTCAGTCCCACTGGGGCAGGCTCAGGTAACTGGTGAGTCCCTGCTCAGTCAGTGCTGCAGTGGCCAGACCCATTCCCGTTTTCCCACCTGTTTGTGCCTCTTTCCCCCGGCAGCGCCAAGAAGAAGAAGATGGCAGACAAAATCCTCCCTCAGCGGGTGAGTGGGAGCCAGGGGGAGGTGAGGGGGCCTGGGGCACTTTGGGGGAGCTGGTTGATGGGAATTCCCATCCTTGCCTGGCTGCAGATCCGGGAGCTGGTGCCCGAATCCCAAGCCTACATGGACCTGTTGGCCTTCGAGAGGAAGCTGGACCAGACCATCATGAGGAAGCGCTTGGATATCCAGGAGGCTCTGAAACGCCCCATCAAGGTAGGGGAGTGCAGGGCAAATATCCAGGGGTGTGGAGGCTCCTGGAGGCTCCAGGCAGCGGGAGGGCACGGAGGGGTCGTGTCCTGGGAGTGTGGAATGTCAGGAACCTGTTGGGCACAGCCGGGGAGTGGGAGCAGCCACTCAGGAGAGGGGGGAAGTGAGGCAGCCGAAAACACCGAGCTGAGTTTTAGCAAGGCCTGAGCAGGAGGAGGGAGCCCTGGAGGCGAGAGCTGAGGCCGAGCCGACGCTTTTTCCCGGCAGCAAAAGCGGAAGCTGCGGATTTTCATCTCCAACACCTTCAACCCGGCCAAGTCGGACGCGGAGGACGGCGAGGGCACCGTGGCCTCCTGGGAGCTGCGGGTGGAAGGGAGGCTGCTGGAGGACGTAAGTGGCAAACACCCCACCTCAGAGGAGACCCTGGCTCTGGAATTGGCACTGAAAGCGAGTTTCTTAGTGTCTGAGAGCACAGCTGGGGCTTGATCTCCTCCTCCCGTCTCTGTCTTCCAAGGAGTCTGGTGGTGACGAGAGCGAGAGCCCGGCCTGGAGACCGATGGGTATCCCCATGGCGGGACAATGAGTTGTCCAAAGTTCTTAGAGCTGTGAGAATCCCTGGTGAGAGCAGCTCAGTGTCCCCAGAGCTCTGAGAACCAGGGCCCTGGCATTGTACGTACCCGCTGAGGGGTTTGGCTCCCGCCAGCTCATCTTTAACTCCAGCCTTTCCCTTTTCCTGACTCGGAAACTTTGATTTTTTTCGAGCCCACGTTGGTGGATTCAGGTGTTCAGAACTTACAGGAGCTGTCGTGCACAGTGGCTGTTGCTTGAGGGCTGAGACTTGCTGTCCTAACCCCTCTTCCTCCCTGTGTTGCTTGCAGTCTGCTCTGTCCAAATACGATGCCACCAAGCAGAAAAGAAAGTTCTCGTCCTTCTTTAAATCTCTGGTCATTGAACTTGATAAAGACCTGTATGGCCCTGACAATCACCTAGTAGAGGTGAGCTGCTTTTTGCTGTGTTGTCTCTGAACGTGGGGCGGTGTTTCTGCTGGTGGGGTTTGTGTGTAGCACTTGTGACCTGGGAGGTGGGGGATCCCCGAGGTTCCTGGGAGGCAGGAGCTCTTTGAATCCTCCCTTAAGCTTTTCCTCTCGCCTGCTGAGGGTCTGAATAAACGTTTTAACCCTCGTTTCAAGCCGTGAGTGGGAATAATTTGAGCTTTCTCCGGGCGGGTGGGATTTACTGGAGAAGCTTCTGGGTGCCCAGCAGCGGGAGCAGAGGGGGTGCAGGGGGAGGCCCCACACGTGGGGGTGTTTCTGAATTCCCTCTCCTGTCCCAGTGGCACAGGACTGCCACAACTCAGGAGACAGACGGCTTCCAGGTGAAGAGGCCGGGGGACGTGAACGTGCGCTGCACTGTCCTGCTGATGCTGGATTACCAGGTGAGGCAGGGGGAAAAAATTCCTCCCTGGGAAGCGTGGGGAGGCCCTGAGGTTGCCCAGAGAAGCTGTGGCTGCCCCTGGATCCCTGGAAGTGCCCAAGGCCGGGTTGGAGCAACCTGGTGCAGCGGGAAGGTGTCAGGGGTGGGACTGGGGGGGCTTTAAGGTCCCTTCCAAGCCAAACCATTCCACGGTCCCGTGCTGGGAGCAGCAGTGCTGGGCACCATCTCACCAGTGCCTGGCACCATCTCACCAGTGCCTGGCACCATCTCAGCCCTCCGTGCTCCTCATGCAGCCCCCCCAGTTCAAGCTGGACCCCCGCCTGGCTCGGCTGCTGGGCATCCACACGCAGACCCGGCCCGTCATCATCCAGGCCCTCTGGCAGTACATCAAGACCCACAAGCTGCAGGACCCCCACGAGCGGGAGTTCGTCATCTGTGACAAGTACCTGCAGCAGGTGAGGGGGCCCTGGAGCAGCTCCTGGCCCAGCTGCCCCGGGTGGGTGGGATGAGCAGGGGGTGGCTGCCCCGAGCCCCCCCTGAGCCCCCGTCTCTGCCCCAGATCTTCGAGTCCCAGCGCATGAAGTTCTCCGAAATCCCCCAGAGGCTCCACGCGCTGCTGATGCCCCCCGAGCCCATCATCATCAACCACGTGATCAGGTGAGGCTGCTCCACGGGAATTCCCCTTCCCAGGAAGGGCTGGATGAGGAAGGATCACAGGAGGATGGTGTGATACCTCCTGGTTGTAGCAGCAGCTCCCGTGTTAACCTGTCATCTCTTTGTCACCACACCCTCTGTTACCACATCCCTCTTTTCCAGAGGCTTTCCCACATCCATGCTGTCCTTTGCCGTGGACAGAAACCTGCCTGGAGCCATCACTCCTAGTGCTTTGCTGCTGCTGGGACTGAGGCTGACACTGGCACGGCTTGTCCCTGTCCCTGCCTGCAGTCCACGTGCTGCAGCATCCCAGAGGAGCTGCATTTGCTCCTTGAGCCACTTCCATTTGGACTGCTCCCAGATTTTTGCCTTTTTTCTTGACCTACTAACTCATTTTGGCTCCTTTCTGGAGCTGCTCCCTGATTCTGCCTTTTTGTGGATGTCCCCAGTGTTGACCCAAATGACCAGAAGAAAACAGCCTGCTATGACATTGATGTGGAGGTGGATGACACCTTGAAAACCCAGATGAATTCCTTTCTGCTCTCCACAGCCAGTCAGCAGGAAATTGCTGCTCTGGATAACAAGGTAGGAAAAGCTTCTTGGGGTCTGCTCTGCTTGGAGCTGGGCAGGGAAGTGTCTCTGGAGCAGGTGAACCCGGACAGGACAGGAGTGTTTGGAAGCTGGACTGGGGTGAGCCGTGCTTACAAACTGGTGGCTGCACCTGGGAGTGTAAATTTTAAAGCAGACGGTCCGTGGGAAAATTGGGGAATATTTAGGGCAGGAAACCGGGAACTGAGAGTCCTCTGACAGGTGTAAGTCAGCCAGAATTTGCCTTTTTGATGTTTGTGACCTTTCCCTCATCCAGCAGCTCCACTCTTGTGTTTGTGCCCTTCAGATCCACGAAACCATCGAGACCATCAACCAGCTGAAGACTCAGCGCGAGTTCATGCTGAGCTTCGCCCGGGACCCTCAGGGCTTCATCAACGACTGGCTCCAGTCCCAGTGCCGGGACTTGAAGGTAAAAAGCTTTGTCTTGTGTGGAAGGTGGATCCAGTCATACGCTCCCCTCATTACAGCGAGCTCCCGCGGAGACAGAGAGAGGCAATTTCCTGCTCGGAAAGCGAGGCTGGAATTGGAGTCGAGCACAAGAACGTGACCTGAGCGCTCTGAGAGGAAAGGGGAGGCTTTGCTCGGCACAGCCAGAGCTTTTTGCACTCCCTGAGCTGCTGTTGTGTCCCTTTGTGCTCTGCAGACAATGACTGATGTCGTGGGGAACCCCGAGGAGGAGCGGAGAGCCGAGTTCTACTTCCAGCCCTGGGCGCAGGAGGCCGTGTGCCGGTACTTCTACTCCAAGGTGGGTGTCCCCGAGCAGGGGACCCTCTCCCTGCCTGTCACTCCTCGGGGTGCCCTCTGCCAGGGGAAGGGTCCCAGTCTGAGCCCAGCCTTTGCCAGCTGGGTGCTGTGGTGTTGCCCCAGCAGCAGTTACAGACTTGGCTTCTCCTGCAGGTGCAGCAGCGACGGCAGGAACTGGAGCAGGCCCTGGGCATCCGGAACACATAGGGCTGCCCTGCTCCTGCCCACTGGAGCAGGCCCTGGGCATCAGGAACACATAGGGCTGCCCTGCTCCTGCCCAGCAGCACGGGCTGTTTGTGGAGACAGAGCTGCAGAGCTCGCTGGTCCAGCTCCCAGGATCCCACTCCAGCAGCGAGGCCCCTGTTCCTCCTCCTGGCGTTGTCCCTGCTGGGGGCAAGTCCAGGACAGCGGGGCTCTCGTGGGGTGTGACAAGCAGACAGGCTCCACCCAGCACACATTTCTACCTGGTTCTCTTCCTGACTGTTGCCTTGTCAGCCCCCAAGGCTTCCAGGAGCCTCCCCGTGACTCCGTAGTGTCCCCGGTAGCCAGAGTTGACTTGGAGCCTCCTCCCAGCCCTTCCCTCCCCTGTGGCACCCTGGAAGCCTGGCTCTGCTCTAAGGTGTGGCTGGGCTCTTCCCTGCCACGTTTTACAGCCACCCGCCCCACCCCCAACCCCCCCCCCCCCCCCCACCCCACCCCCCCCCCCCACCCAACACCCCCCCCCACCACCACACCACAACCCCAACCCCCCAACCCACCCCCACACCCCCCCCACCCCCCCAACACCCCCCAACCCCACCACCACCCCACACCACAACCCCACACCCCCCCCCACCCCCCCACCACCCCCCACACCCCCCCCCCCCCCCACCACCACCCCCCCCCCCAACCCCCCACCCACCCCAACCCCCCCCCCCCCACCCCCCCACACACCCCCCCCACCCACCCCCCCCCCCCCCCCCCCCCCCCCCACACCCCCCCCACCACCGTGCCAGGCGCTGTCGTGGGCAGGATGCCGTGGGCTGACATACCTCCCTGCCCTGACCCCCCTCCTCAGAGGGTGCTGCTGCACTGGGGCTGCCCCACAGGTCACTCCCCTCCTCGAGGAGGTTACTGGACTGTGTAGAGAATTGCTCCTTCCCTTCTCCCTTTTTCCCCCTGTCCGTTCCCTTCGTGTTCTGTGACGGGCTGTCCTGGGCTGGGGTCACAGGGAGAGGAGGTTTTGGCTTCCTGCAGGGCTTTGGAAGCTTGGAGTGATGCAACTCCCTGCCCTTCAGACACCTACACGTGGGTTGCCAGCAAACCACGTGGCTGCTTGTTTTCCCTGGAGCAGGGAGAGGGGATGCAGCAGCTGCCTGGAGCTGTGCATGGACACAGTGCTGTGGCCTCATTGCTCTGGGGCAGTTGTCCTGTGTCTCTTGCTGTGGGGACCAGAGGCTCCTTCGTGTGGATCCGAGGGTGGGACAGGACAGTCCTGGGGAATGGACATTTTCCCAAGCATATGTGAGTTAGCAGGTGTTTCCATGCCGAAGCTCCTGTGGTTTTTAGTCAAGTTTTAGGTCACGGGGCTGCCATAGGGCCCAGCATGGTTCAGGAATGTACAAATAGATTTACTGTGGGGAGTAGCAGCCCCGAGGCCTCTTCATGGAATGAATTACTGGTGGTCAGGCTCCTCTTCACCCCAAGCCCGGTGTTTCTGCTCGGGACTACAATGCAAATGGACTCGAGAGTTGGTCTGACTCCCCTGGGATAGCTGCAGGATCCTCCGAGGGGGGAGCTGGGAGCGCCCGGGTGGCCCTGCTGCTCCTCGTGTCTGTGTAACTACATGTCTGTGAGTAATAGACTCTCCTCTGCCCTCCTGAAACGCTCCTCTGTGGTACCGGGGTGAAGGGCTTGGTGCTGGAGAAGCAGCCCCTGACTCCTCAGGGTACTCCCACGGGAGGGATGCCGAGTCCTGCGTAGGCGAACGTAGCTGTTGCAGAGTAACTGCTTTTCTTAACTGAATATTTACGGTTTTTTTCCATGGACCAAATCTTTTTTTTGTTTGTTTTTTTGTTTGTTGTTTTTTTTTTTTTTGTACTGTATCCTTGTAGACGTCACCCAGTTTTAATAAAAGACTCCTGTGAAGGAAGCTGTCCTCCTCCTTCGTGCTGGGGGATGACACTCCAGTGACAGGACAGGATTATCTCCACTTTCCTCCCTTTTTTTTTTTTCCTTCTCAAAGCCAGCTGGGTTAAGTGACTGGAGAGAAAATGTTCCTCATATTTTGGCCTTTTATAGCGAGCCCTCCCTAGAGGGATCTCCTGGTTTGCACACTCTGCTAAGCCTTTGCAAAGTGCTTTTGTGCTAAACAAAGTAACTTGAGCAGAACTGGAAATCCAGTGGCCAGGGCTAATAAATCCTGAACTGCCCAGTGCCCACTCTGCTGGGCTGTGGCAGCCTCTTACAGGCCCATGAGGACTCGGGCAGAATTTGGAGGAAACTGTATCAAAGTTTACGTGCAAGGGTTTAAAATGATGCAAAAGGGGAATTGTTCTCTTCGCCCTGGTGGTTTATAGAACTGCAAATGCCTCGCAGCAAACCTGGGAGCCCCTGGGGCAAGGAAAGGATCCTCTGTGAGGAGGAAAAAAGCTGCTGCCTCAGGCTGTGATTGAGGCAGGAGCTGAGTCCTGGGGCTGCACCAGGTGGTTCTTACTCCTTACCTGGGGGCAAAATGGTACTTTTAGGAGGACAGAACGAAATGCTTTTATGCAGAAAAGGAGGGAGAGGCTCGGCAGGCACAACTCAAAGACCTCCTCGGGGGCTGCAGCTCCTCCCGAGGGGCAGCTCCGACCTCTGCTCCCTGTGAGCAGGGAGAGGACCCAGGGAAGGGCTGGAGCTGTGTCGTGGAGGGTTTAGGGGGGATCTCAGGAAAAGGTTCTTCCCCCAGAGGGTGGTTGGCACTGCCCAGGCTCCCCAGGGCAGTGGGCACAGCCCCAAGGCTGCCAGAGCTCCAGGAGGGTTCGGACAATGCCCTCAGGGACAGGGTGGGATTGTCGGGGTGGATCCTGATCCTCGCGGGTCCCTCCCTTCCAACTCGGGATGTTCCACGATTCTGCGATTCAGCGAGTGACTCCCGGTTCTGCCGGGGATCCGACCCGCTCCGGGTCTCTGCCCTTTGCCCCCGAGCGCGGAGCCCCGGCCGTGCCCGCGGTGCCCCCGGGGCGAGGCGGGGCCGGGGGCGGACCGGGGGCCGCCCCTGCTCCGGGGCGCCCTTGAAATAGCGGGCGGCGGGTCCGGCTCCCGCAGCGCCCCGGTCCTGGCACCACCATGGGTGGCAAGAAGGTTTGCATCGTGGGCTCCGGCAACTGGTGAGCACACCGGGATCACCCCGGGTCCCCCGGGCCAGCACAGCGCGGTCCCTTGTCCCCCCCGGTGGCACCGGGTCCCAGGGTGAGCAGTGGTGCCCTGGAATCCTCGGTGCCCTGGGCTCCCCTTGTGCCCTGGGCTCCCCGGTGCCCTGAGATCCTCGGTGCCCTGGAATCCTCGGTGCCCTGTGCTCCCCCGGTGCCCTGGGCTCCCCGGTGGCACCAGGTCCCAGGGTGAGCAGCGGTGCCCTGGGCTACCCCGTGCCCTGGGCTCCCTGGTGCCCTGGGATCCCTCAGTGCCCTGGGCTCCCCGGTGGCACCAGGTCCCAGGGTGAGCAGCAGTGCCCTGGGTTCCCCAGTACCCTGGGATCCCTCTGTGCCCTGGGCTCCCTGGTGCCCTGGAATCCTCGGTGCCCTGGGCTCCCCAGTGCCCTGGGATCCCTCTGTGCCCTGGGCTCCCCCGTGCCCTGGGCTCCCCCATGCCCTGGGCTCCTTGGTGCCCTGAGCTCCCCGGTGTCCTGGGCTCCCCCATGCCCTGGTCTCCCCCATGTCCTGTGCTCCCCCGTGCCCTGTGCTCTCCGGTGCCCTGGGCTCCCCCGTGCCCTGGGCTCCCCCATGCCCTGGTCTCCCCCATGTCCTGTGCTCCCCCGTGCCCTGTGCTCTCCGGTGCCCTGTGCTCCCCCGGTGCCCACGGCCCCGCTGTGCCCATGCAGGGGCTCTGCCATCGCCAAGATCGTGGGTGCCAACGCGGCGCGGCTGAGCGGCTTCGAGAGCCAGGTGAACATGTGGGTGCTGCAGGAGGAGGTGGGCGGCCGGCGCCTCACCGACATCATCAACGCCGAGCACGAGAACGTCAAGTACCTGCCCGGGCACAAACTGCCCCCCAACGTGGTGAGCGTGGGGGCTGCCAGCTCCGGGGGGCAGAGCTGATGGCTCCGGGGGGCAGAGCTGATGGCTCCGGGGGGGCAGAGCTGATGGTTCCGGGGGGCAGAGCTGATGGCTCCGGGGGGCAGAGCTGATGGGTCCGGGGGGGCAGAGCTGATGGCTCCGGGGGGCAGAGCTGATGGCTCCGAGGGGCAGAGGTGATTGCTCAATGGGTCCGAAGACTGATAGCTCCGTGGGCAGACTGAGGTGGCTGTGGAGGGGGCAGAAGCTGATGGCTCTGAGGGGCAGAGCTGATGGCTCCGGGGGGGCAGAGCTGATGGCTTGGAGGGGGCAGAGCTGATGGCTCCGAGGGGCAGAGGTGATGGGTCCGAGGGGGCAGAGCTGATGGCTCTGAGGGGGCAGAGCTGATGGCTCCGAGGGGGCAGAGCTGATGGCTTGGAGGGGGCAGAGCTGATGGCTCCGAGGGGCAGAGGTGATGGCTCCAAGGGGGCAGAGCTGATGGCTCTGAGGGGCAGAGCTGATGGCTCCGAGGGGCAGAGCTGATGGCTCCGGGGGGGCAGAGCTGATGGCTTGGAGGGGGCAGAGCTGATGGCTTGGAGGGGGCAGAGCTGATGGCTCCGAGGGGGCAGAGCTGATGGCTCCGGGGGGGCAGAGCTGATGGGTCCGGGGGGCAGAGCTGATGGCTCCGAGGGGGCAGAGCTGATGGCTCCGGGGGGGCAGAGCTGATGGGTCCGAGGGGGCAGAGCTGATGGCTCCGGGGGGCTGCTGGGGTGTGAGGGAGGCGATGTGTGGGGCTCGCTGACACCCTCCTGCTGACCTTGATCCGCGTTTGGATGAGCTGCAGCCCTGGCTGCTCTCGCTGCCCACCTTTGTGTCCCCCCCCTCTCTGGCGTCCGGCGGGCTGGGCTGGAGGCCATGTGGCTGCCTCCGGGCTGGCACCATCCCGCTCTGCTCCAGCCCTTCTCCAGCCCCTGCCAGCCCTGGCAGGGACCTCGGTGCAGTGACTTCGGGCCCTTCCTTCCCTTCCCGGCCCCCGTGCAGGTGGCAGAGCCGGACCTGCTCAAAGCCTGCGCGGGGGCCGACGTGCTCCTGTTCGTGGTGCCCCACCAGTTCATCGGCAGCATCTGCGACCAGCTCAAGGGCCACGTGAAGAAAGAGGCCGTGGGGATGTCGCTCATCAAGGTGGGAGCGGGAGCCAAGGCGGGGAGGAGCTGGAAGCAGCCCGGCTAGGAATTCTGGGATTTGGGGGCAGAAATGGGCTCTGGGGTGATGGGGGGATGTGGGGAGAGTGGGGGCAGAGTCTTCGTGGGGATTTGGAGGTGCTGGTGGGGAAGGGTGAGAGCACGTGGGGGATCTGTGAGGAGCAGGGCACAGCTCAGCGCGTCGGGATCACAGTGGGAGCGTTGCAGGGCAGGGAATGGCAGGATTGGGGTCGGGGGCAGGTGTCCAGGAGGGGCTCGTGTCTCCTTGAGAAGGTGGTGATCACTCAAAGGTGGGACTCGGTGATCTCAGAGGTCTTTTCCAACCTAATTGACTCGGTGGCTCTGTGACCTCTGTCCTTGGTTGTCTCCCA